GGCCTGTGGTTCTGGAACGGCTCGGAACAAGGTCCGCAAGCTGCTTGGGGCCTATACTGCTTGCGAGCCGCGATGATGTCTCGCAGCTGAGTCCGCGCTTCTTGAATTTCAGGGCGGCGGATGTTTGTTGCAAGCTGATATCCTCCGCGGATAGCCTTGCCCTCAGTGTCCCTATAGGCAGGGTTGCCCTTGCCGAAGGCCGAGTGTTCCCCTTTTCGGCGTCTTGGGTCATTATGCGGAAGCAGCTGGCCACCTCTCCTGAGAGCGTGTTATTTCGGGCCAGCCTGCCTCCATTCACGAGGAAGCCTAGCCTGTGGGTGTGGCTCTCCTCTGACGCGCGTATGGGAACGAGACCTTCTGGTGTTCTCATCAGAAGAGGCTGCCGAAGCAGCCTGAGCGGCCACCGGTGGAGGCGCCTGCGGAGGCTCCTGTGCGATCCCAGGTGGATCGTCCGTCAGAGGCAGGTTTCCCTGCTGGCTGGAGCTTGGCGCAAATGGCGCTTGTGCCGATGGTGATGATGATTCAGACTCGTCGGGGTCGAAGTCAACCTCTTCCTCACCATTAACTTCTATCATGAGGATTGTAACTTCATCCTCATCTAGTCCGCAACCATCGCCTTCTTCTTCTGCTGATGTAGAACTGCCGATGATGATGGCCATTGGCGTATCCGGTACAGGCAGGTTTCCCTGCATGGCCGGCGTCTGTGCGTCGCTCGGCTGCCCCGGGGTAGGAGGCGCTGTTGTCGGCTCAGGCTCGTTGCCGAGCACAGGCTGCCCGGCAATGTTGCGCATGGCCGTATGGTTTGGCCACATTCCCACCGCCTGGAGACCCCATCCTGGCGGAGGAAGATCATGACCGCGCATGGCGATAGCCATTTCCAGAGCATTGCGCCATCTACCGCGGGAATATATCAGGTGTCTCTGCACGTCCTCAGGATGCACGCTGTCAATGAGAGTCAGAGCTGCCAACAACAACTCCGAGCTACCGCAGGCGTCGGTATCCTGCAGTATCATGCTGTCAGCTTCGGTGTACTCTTGACTCTCGGGATACGCGGTGATAAGTATCTCATGCATCCTCATGAGGGTCTGCAGGAGAGTGCGTGGTCCGTACTCACCTGGAGCAAGCGAACCAGGGGGTATAAATGGGGTCTCTGGTTCACCTGCAGTGAAAGCTTGAACGAACGCCTGAGACTCCATATCTATTAAGTCTTCAGTAGTTTGGGGATAGTCCCCCATCAGAGTAGGCCTGTTTCCAGGCGGGATTTCGGGGGGAGGTTGGAGGTGGCGTTCAACCTCAGAAGGCGAGGCCTCTACAGTGATGTCCTCGTCACTGCTTTCGTAGGCCATGATGTTACCTGGGTTCCCGAACATCCAGTCGAAGAAAGAAAGAGGCTGGTTTCCCAGCGTACCGTGATCCACGGGAGTGAGCTCGTTATTGCCAATAACGAACCAGCGAACGTACTCGAGGTAGTACGCGTACAATCCATGACCATACGCCTCGAGCTCGTCGACGTTGTCCATGCAACTGACCCAAGTGTAAAATATCTGCTCCATGGCTTCAAAATCCTGGAGGCTCAGATACTCAATGAATGGTTCACTTGAGCCAAAATGGACTTCGGTCGACCTGCCCTTTCCACTTCCCTTCGCTGGACAATCTCGCACAAGATGGTCGGTACTGTCACATTCATGGCATTTAAGAACCTGGCCGTCTCTACCTCGCGGGTTTCCCCGCCCACCCTGGCCTTTTCCTGAGGTCTCTCTACGGCCCTTGCCGCGGCCCTTTCCCCCAAAGAATATCTCATCGTATTGTTCATCTGAGAGCCTCTGGAGAAATGCCGCGATGCCTCGTCCGTTCAACCTCCGACGACCACGCTTACCTTTACCTTTTCCCTTAAAACTCCTCCGTATCCTCCTTCTAACACGACGCACTGGTTTTCGCGCGAACCTCCCCCACCTTCGTTTGGCCTGTTGTAGTAACCAGAACAAATGTTCAGCGCGCTGATTGCCATTATCCATATTCATAATATCTGACCAATCTAAAGCTTCAACACCATCTGATGATCCAGTATCTGTGTCGGTGCCGGAGTCGAAATCCTCGTCTCCCAAGTAGGTGGATACACCGTCGGTTAGGGGGTTTGATTCACCCCATAAGGAACGGTGTGGTTGTGGTTCTCTGGAAGGAGGGCTGGTTGCCCAGCTTGGTTGTGATCGATCTCCTGCTAGTAGAGCAGTGGATTCTCCAGGATCATCAGCCCATATGCTTGAGGGCCCGTTCCCAGGCTGGGCTTCAGTAGCCAAGGTAGTGTAGCAATTTCCACTACCAGATCCCCTTCCCCTTCCAAACACGGATCCTATATTACCAGGAGACCGTTCAGATAGGTGGCCTATCGAACGCATCCTCTCCAGCAACTCATCATACTGTTGTTGTGTTCGGGGCATTTGGTGATTGAGTGGCTGTGGGAGTTGCATGGCTCGCTGGTTGCCGACGCCTAAGGCGCGGAACAAGATCGTGGTTAGTAGTTGGAAGTTGGGATGGTCAAATCCCACCGACTGTGCCTCAAGCCGGGCCACTTCGAATCGTGTAAGGGTGACATCGATTCGTTCCCCGTGAGGCACGTGGAAGTCGATGAGTTGCGTGCCAGAAGTGAGCTGGCGCTCATATTCCAGGCGCTCGAACTTCATGCTTAGGAGGAACATGATGTAGGTCACTGGGTCGGTGTGGACCCCATCGATGTCAGCACCATAATTTATGATGTCAGGCGGTGCCCTCATGGCGAGTGTCCTCGCTAGGCCACCTAGGCCGCGTTGTATTGCGGCCGCTTGGGCCTGTGGCGTCATACGTCCGCTTCCACGTTGAGCCATGCGTTGACCTCATAAACGTACTCACGGAAAGGTACGTTGCCTTGAGGGTCCCAATATGGGCCATGTGTTTGCCCATCGGTGCTGTTGTCTCCACGACGCATGTGTCCGATTGCTGCCCCCAGCGCGAACCATATGATAGCGAAGATAACCAGCCCAAGGCTGTGTAGAGAAGGGCGGTTATTAGGCGCGTTGCCGCGCTGGGGTAGCGCCTTGTCGAGTCTTCGAGGCGCTCTATCTGGCGGATCTCTCCGCCCCTGTTTCAAGTATTGCGCTTTTGGCTCGTTGCCGAGCGGTTGGTGGTGGCGCAATGATGAAGCGTATATGGTACCAATGTCGTTGTCTAGACGTCGTACCTCTCGTGTCGCTTCTTGCTCTTGGATAGATCCTCGTAAACGTACTGGGAGTAATAGCGCAGGGTGGTAGGTGGTCACGAAGATCGTGCCGAAGAGTATGAGGCTAAGAAGAGCAAGAGCTGACCACACGAGAGTGCGGCCAGCTCCGCTACCAAGTCGAAAGTGAGCCTGGTAACTCAAATAGCATCCGCTCCCATGGGAAGCGGATGGCAAATAGCGTCCATTCCTCTGCTGTGGTGGTTCAGTATGGGGAATGGGCGGGTATGATGGGATAAGATCGATGTATCGGTCTTTCCAGCACATAGCGAACACTCGCGGTGTCCGGGCAAATAGGGCGCGCGTGCCTTGAGCCAAAGGTAACGGCGCGCAAGCTATGCTCCCGATACTATAACATCTCCCAACGAGCTACCCTTAAAGTCGGGACCCATAGGGAGGGGGCTCCCGCCTGAAACGTCGAGGCTCCCGCTTGAAACTTCCTCCAAATTCAGGCCTGGCAACCCCAAAAGTGACGACAATTGCAGGGCGCCGGTGACCCGCTCGGATTACCAACATGAAGTGCGGGACCCATAGGGAGGGGGCTCCCGCCTGAGACTTCCTCGAAAGTCACTCACAAACGGGGCTCCCGATAGATAATTCCTCCAAATTCAAGCCTGAGAAGCCCCAAAAGTGAAACAGTTACAGGTTGCAGAAGACCCGTTCGGATTACCAACATGAAGTGCGGGACCCATAGGGAGGGGGCTCCCGCCTGAGACGTCCTCACAATTCACTCACAGACGAGGCTCCCAACATGAAGTGCGGGACCCATAGGGAGGGGGCTCCCGCCTGAGCCTTCCTTACAATTCACTCACAGACGAGGCTCCCGCTCGATACTTTCTCCACACTCAAGCCTGAGGAGCCCAAAAATGACGACAATTACAGGTTGCCGATGACCCGCTCGGATTACCAACATGAAGTGCGGGACCCATAGGGAGAGGGCTTCGGCCTGAGACTTCCTCACAATTCACTCACAGACGAGTGACTGATGACGAAGTGATGAGTGAGTGATGATGATGATGATAATGATGATGATGATGATGATGATGAGTGAGTGAGTGAGTGAGTGAGTGGATGAGTGAGTGAGTGAGTGAGTGATGATGATAATGATGAGTGAGTCGGTGAGTGAGTGATCGAATGATGATGATGGTGATGATGATGATGAGTGATGGGCATGAGTGATCGTGGGATGCTCATGGGGACTGGTGGTGATGATGATGATGACGAAGTGATGAGTGAGCGTGAAGTGATGATGATGATGTTGTTGATGATGATGATGATGATCATGCTGATAATGATGATGATGATGAAGATGATGGTGATGATGATGATGGCGATCGTGCGATGCTGATGATGATGAGTGATCGTGCGATGCTGATGGTGATCCTGATCGTGATGATGATGATGATGATGATAATGATAATGATAATGATAATGATGATGATGATGATGATGATGATGATGATGATGATGATGATGATGATGATGATGATGATGATGATGATGATGATGATGATGATGATGATGATGATGATGAGTGATGGTGATGGTGATGAGGAGGAGGAGGAGGAGGAGGAGGAAGCAAGGAGGAGGAGGAGAGGAGAGGGAGGAGGGGGAGGAGAGATCCTGCGCGGAGGGTGTGCAGAGAAAACAAAAACCCCACTTAGGATGTGGGGAAAAACCAAATGCAACAATCCTTCAAAAGCCAATGGGACATCGAGCAGTTTAGCTTCATCGGGCTTTCCCAAGGGATGTCTTGGAGGCGTATTGGCCGCCTCGGAGGCTATCTGGAGCTATCTGGACTCCGTATTGGGCCGTGTGGGGTGCATCTCGGGGCTCTCGACTTGGAGGAAAGGTCTACGTGCACAGTAGAATCTAAATGCAACTTGGCGAAAGAAATGATGCACACGACCACTTGACCTCCGGGAGTCATGAAAACGACCGCTATGGCGGAATCGCTCAGCAGGGTTCCAGGCTCCACCGCGTCGGGCTTCCATGAAATCCGCCGACCCCTCGTGGGCAGGCGTGCGAGATTCGATTCCCCCCCATCATCCACCCCCCCGGGACCCCAAACCGAAGGCTTCAAGACGCTTCACAAAGCCTCCCAGAAGCCTCCCAGGATGGCCCCGAACACCAAAACTCCCCCAATTCCGATGGAAAACAATATACACGACTCTTCGGCCTCCACGGCGTTGAAAACGGCGCCTCTGGCGCCCAACACCGACCCAAACAAAAACCCAGGAGAGGCCTCAAACGGCCCATCAGGGCCCCAAGACGGCCCCAAAGGCGCCCAAGACAACCCATGAAAGCCCGCAAACGGCCCTGAGAGGGGCCCAGGAGCGGGAGCCAGGACCGACAATTCGAGTTCACCGCCACAAGATGCACCCACGAGCCCTCCAGACGCCCCTACAAGCCCCCAGCAGGTCCCCAGGCGGGGAGGCGGAGCGGCCCCGGCCGGCGAGCGGGCTGACCCTCTCGGCAGCCGCCCGAGGCCACCAGAAGTGCTCGCGCCGCCCGCCGAGGGCCCTCAGGCGGCGCGCCGCGGTGGGGCTGCGGCCGGCGAGGCCTCGGCCGCGGGGGGGGGCCCTCCCCGCAGATCCTGCAGTCGGAGCTGCAGAAGCCCATCAGGTGCTCGCACAGGATGCCGTCCTGCGCGCCGAGATGCCGCCGCTTGAGGCGGTGGCGCCTCTGCGCAGCGCGCTGCCTGGGGCTGGCGTCCGCGCCCGCCTCGGGGGTGCCCGGGCTTGGCTCGTAGTAGAAGACCGAGAGGGCCACGCTCTCGTGGACGCCTGAGAGTCCCGAGGCCTCACGCTTGAGCAAGGCCTCATCTGAGGCTGCCGTGGCCACCGAATCGTCAAGCACGCGGCGGTCCACCTGAGCTGAAGATGCCGTTGACACCGTATCTGCGGTCTCGCAGCGGTCCATCTGCTTCCCGGCATGTCGACGACACGCCGAGAGCACGGCCGAGTCGGACCCAAAGAACGCGGCGATGTGCGCCATTACGAGGCGACAAAAAGTTGCAGAAGAGGCGACGCAGATCGAGGTGATTCGAGGTTGAGCCAGAATCGCTGCAGATATGCACTGCCCGATTGTGGAAGGTCTTGGCAACGCCGAGTGCGCAGTGCCTTACCCAGGGATTGACCTGATACATTACAGGACTACAACCAGAGCGCGCGCTTCGCGCGCGCTCAAGCTCTACTTGCCATGCGGCCAAGCGTAAAGCGCGCCAGGGGGCCGTGTTTGCATGATCGGGTCCTTGGACTGGAAGCCCAAGCGTTGGTTTCTGAAGTCACACTGAGGCTTGGTATTCGCGGCATTCCTGGATCATCATTGGGCGATCTTGCAACTCTCTTCGGGACCATTGAGACCTCCGAGACCATCTTGGAACCACACTTTCGCAATTGATCGGAAGTCCAGGAAGGACAGGAAAACACGTTGGAATTCACATTGTTTTCTGACTGATGTGGCCCGCTCGATAGCCCTGTGTGGGCACTCTGGCGGCCTCCGAGGCCGCTCTTGGGGGCCGACAGGGGGGCCTCTCGTTTGCCTCCTGGGAGCCTCTTGGGGGCTTTTTGGGGGACCGCTTCGGAAGCCTCTGGGGGCCTCTGGGGGCCATCGTGGCGCGGAGAGCGTTCAGGGGGCCTCGGGGAGGCGTCGCGAAGCTCTCTTAGGTCTTGGGGCCCTCTTGGGGCCGTCGTGGAGCTCTCTCAGGTCTCGGGGCCTCCTGGGGCCTTCGTGGAGCTCTCCTAGGTCTTGGGGGCCCTCTTGGGGACCTCTAGGGGGGCCTCTAGGGGGGCCCCTCTGGGACCTCTTGCAGCCTCTTTCCTGGGGCCGTCCCGTGGGCCCCTCTCGGGCCGTCTCTGGGCCTGTGACAGGCAACTCCCGGAGCTGTCTTGGCCAATTTGGGAGCCATCTGTGGGCGGTCTTGGAAAGCCTGAACCCAAAAACTTGTTCATCTCTTGGGGGCGCATCTTTTACTTCCGCCGCCTTCGGCCGAGCTTCCGCCAACGGAGGCGGCCTCGTTTTACTTCAGCCGACCTTCCGCCGCCTTCCGCGGCGGAAGAGATGACAACTCCTTCGATTCTCCATTCCCAAGCGCGGAAGTTGCTGGCACTCGAGCGGCAACACCACACTACCCAATCAAGGATTTGGCCAGCGTTGAGGCAAGAGTACCGTTCCCAATCAGGGACGTGGCCAGCGCGCAGTGTTACGAGGATGTCTCAGGCGGAGCTGGCCAGACCAGCTTTCGCGCGGCATCTCATAACCCAGAATTGTGAAGATATCTTGAATGAAACTGCCTGGAACACCTCCGGTCAAGACAACTCTGAGCCCAGAGTTGCGAGGACGTCTCGGCGAGTTCTGCCAGACAATTTCGTGTTTGGTATGCTTGAGCCCAAAATCTGGAGAAAGCCTCATGCGAAACTGGCCCAACCACCTCACGCCAGAGTAGATCGGAACCCGGGAAATCGAGAGGATATCCCAAGCGAACCTAATTGTACAACCTTGCACGCGGCATCTCGGAGCCTAGATTTGCGACGTCGTCGCAGGCGAAGCTGGCAAGAAAATGTTACGCGGCATCTCTGAGCCCAGAGTTGCGAGAATGTCACTGCGGAAACTGGCTGGGCCGCCTCGCGCGCTGCATCTCCGAGCCCTGATGTCTCTGGAAAAACTGGCTGGACCACCTCGCGCGCGCTGCATCCCAAACCCAGAGATGCGGGGACGCCGGCATCTCCGAGCCCGCCATTGTGAGAATGTGTCAATCCAAACTGACCAGACCACCCCAATCCCACCATCCATCGCGTAGGTGGCTTAGGGAGTTCCCTCTTCCACCCCCCTTCTTCCCTTTTGGGGAGGGGTGTACCCCTCCCCCAGACCCCCTCCCCTGGACCTGGACGGGGCCGGTCGCGGGTAGTTAGAGCGCCCAAAACGGCCTCGGCGAGGAAGCCAAGATCAGTGGTTTTACTAATAGTTTTGGACTCATTTTGGCCTCTTGGGGGCTGAAATGAGCTCTCCTCTTCTTTGGTCGATCTCCTCCAAGATGGCCCCAAGAGGCGCCCAGGAGGCCCCCAGAGGTCCCAAGATGGCCCCAAGATGGCCCCAAGAGGCCCCGAAGAAGCCCCCAGGAGGCCCCCAAGAGGACCACAAGCGGCCCCAAGAGGCCCCCCCGAGGCGCCCAAGACGCCCAAGAACCCCCGAGGTTGGCGGATGTCTCTGAGCGCAGGCCCCTTGGCCAGAACTAGCTTCCACCGTAACCAGACCCCAGTGAGCACAGCTGTTTGGGTAGGCGCGATAAGGGGGGAAGTGCGAACGAGAGCGGAAAGGGGACACGAGAGACGAAGATCAGACAGGAGGTGAAAAGGGAAAGAGAGGCGACCTTTCCGGCTGTGCTTCCCTTGTTGTGCACTTGATATGTATGATACTGTGCGCTTGCCGGCAAGACAACGGTGAGATGTGCTTTGATAGTATGGGTGATAATGATATGTGCGCTTACCGGCCAGACAACGCGGCCCGGACAAACCCTTTCGGCGGTGGAATAACCTCCCTTTAGTAAACCTACCTGTAATGAAAACGGCCTGGGACCGAAACCGACAGCCTGGACCCGCAAAAATGACGGCCGCGACGCCCTCTCGCGAACCGAAGACGGCCAATTCGCTAATCGACGTGTCAGGGTAGGAGGTCTGTCTCCCCCCGACCCTCCTTGGACAGCCCCACAACGATCCGGACAACCCCCCCCGACAACCACCCTTGGACAAGCCTTCTCAGGATTTTTGTCCATCAGATATAGTATAGCATGAGACTGTCTGTGGCTTCGGCTCCGACGCGGCCCCACTTGTACCAGGCTTTCGTCTACGCGCTCGTCACTGTCGATCTGAACACTTTCTGGAAAAGACCAAGGCGTCTCGGAGGCCTCGTGAAGCCGCCCAAAGACCATGTGGGTGCCACAAGACCTCTCACGGAGCTTCCTTGGGCACTCTTACATGCTTTCTCGCCCCTCATGGCCCCATCTTCAAAAACGTTGCTCCCAAAGAAGGCGGCCCCCGGAAGCCCATACCCATCTAGAGCGGCTGGTTCTCTGAAGGCCCAGCTGGAACTCTCTCGGGCGCTGTGCGGGTTCTAGTCAAGCCGTCCTGCACTACTTTTCGGGATCCCCTGGGCCATCTTCAGGACACACTGCAGCATCGAGAGCCCATGAGATAGCAAAACATGCGGCACTGCACGTTCTTCCTGGTTGTCATACGTTGCGGCAGGATTCGGCCTCGAAAACCTCACCCAAAACGCCGTCGCCGAATGCAACCATTTTCACCCATCACGGGCCCTCTTGGACACATCGTTGACCCCATCGTTGGCCAAGCTCCCTACATGTTGGGCCCTCTCGAAAGTTCAGGTCCCACCTCTGGATTCACTTCCGCCCCCCCGCAGCCCAAGCAGCCAAACACCTCCCCGGGCCTGGCCCCGAACAGCCCACATCCTTCACATACGTTCTGCCCCGCGCGGCCCGCGGTTATCAAAGCACGCGAGCTTCTCTTCCACGGTGCCCACAACGGCCTCACAGGTCGCCTCTGTTTTTCCCCAACCATCCTGTGGTGTTGGGTCCTCGTGTTCAAGAGACAGCGCCCCGCGTCCCACCTCTCCTCCTCTCCTCTCCTCCTCCTCCCTCCTCCTCCTCCTCCTCCTCCTCCTCCTCCTCCTCCTCCTCCTCCTCCTCCTCCTCCCCCTCCCCCCTCCCCCTCCCCTCCCCTCCCCCTCCCCCCTCCCCCTCCCCCTCCCCCTCCCTCCTCCTCCTCCTCCTCCTCCTCCTCCTCCTCCTCCTCCTCCTCCGCCTCCGCCTCCGCCTCCGCCTCCGCTCCTCCTCCTCCTCCTCCTCCTCCTCCTCCTCCTCCTCCTCCTCCTTCCTCCTCCTCCTCCTCCTCCTCCTCCTCCTCCTCCTCCTCCTCCTCCCCCCCCCTCCTCCCTCCTCCCCCGCACCGCACCCATTTCGGCATTCCCAACCATCCTGTGGTTGGCCCTTGTTTTGAAGAGACAGCGCCCCGCGTCTCACCCCCCGCTGCCCCCCCCCATAGGAAGCTCCATCGAAGGCCCCAGTGGGAAAGTTCGCATGGCGGCCTCGACCCAGCTCGGCGCACCCCTCACAAGGATCGTTGCCCCATAGGGAGCTCCACCGAAGGCCCCAGTGGGAAAGTTCGCATGGCGGCCTCGCCCCAGTTCGGCGCACCCCTCACGAGGACCGTGGCCCCATAGGGAGCTCCATTAGAGGCCCCAGTGGGAAAGTTCGCATGGCGGCCTCGCCCCAGTTCGGCGCACCCCTCACGATGATCGTGGCCCCATAGGGAGCTCCACCGAAGGCCTCAGTTGGAAAGTTCGCATGGCGGCCTCGCCCCAGTTCGGCGCACCACTCACGATGATCGTGGCCCCATAGAGAGCTCCACCGAAGGCCCCAGTGGGAAAGTTCGCATGGCGGCCTCGCCCCAGTTCGGCGCACCCCTAACAAGGATCGTTGCCTCATGGGGAGCTCCACCGAAGGCCCCAGTGGGAAAGTTCGCATGGCAGCCTCGCCCCAGCTCGGCGCACCCCTCACGAGGATCGTGGCTCCATAGGGAGCTCCACCGAAAGCCCCAGTGGGAAAGTTCGCATGGCGGCCTCGCCCCAGTTCGGCGCACCTCTCACGAGGATCGTGGCCCCATGGGGAGCTCCACCGAAGGCCCCAGTGGGAAAGTTCGCATGGCTGCCTCGCCCGAGTTCGGCGCACCCCTCACGAGGATCGTGGCCCCATAGGGAGCTCCACCGAACATGATAGTCACGACTGCGGTACTCACAGCTGCATATGGTTGGGCCCTTAGCCAGGCGAATTTTGGAGGGGGCGCTCGTGAGCCTCCCTTCAAAGTTCTAGGACCTCAAAGTTGTAGGACTCATTCTGGAACTATTCCCTACTTTGCCTGAACCCAGCTGACGACGTCCACCTCGGGAGCACAGCTTCGGTTGTGCAAGTGGGATTCGCCTCGACGCGACAGCGGTGAAGCCAGCAGCTTCCATGAGCTGCGCTGCGTCGATGAATTGCGCCCCAGCCTCGTG